CGGAGTGGTTTCCGCAGGTGCCCTCGTGGATCTCTCGGAACATGTAATCCCTTTCTCCCTGTCCAAGGCACACTGTTAGGGGCCGTCGAACGTTCTCCTGTATTGGGCCCCGTTTTCATCGAGCGAGAACCGGGCCGCTCTGGTTCGTAAGGCTCTCGATTCTTTCGGGTCGGCGGGCAGCTTCCCGTCCTTTAGATAGGCGATGTATTTATTCCTCCAATCCCATGTCAGGCTGGTGGAGTTGACTTCCGCGTGACATTCCTCAACTATGGACTTGATTAGCTGGACCACAGACCCGGGAAGTAGGTCTTCCTCCTCGGTAGACGATCCTAGGTTTGCTAGGGCATCAGCCTCGCAATTCTGTTCTTGGGGTACATGGACTAAGGTCCATTCCTTGAAGCGGCGCAAGGTGACTTGGATTTTATCCAGATACCTCTGCATTCTGTCTTCCCGAGCTTCATAGCTTCTGTTTACTTGACTTACTATGAGGAGCGAATCGCATTTTGCCTCGATGGATTCGGCCCCCAGGCCCTTGGCCAACTCTAGACCTACGATCATAGCCTCATATTCGGCTTCGTTGTTAGTTTGCTTCGCAGTTTTTATGGATTGTCGGATTATGCCGCCGATGGGCGGCTTCAGGAATATACTGAGTTCTGATTCTATGACGTTTGTGGCACCATCCGTGAACAGGGTCCACACCACGGAAGATGTGCCTGACTTTATCAAAAGTTCCTTCTGTACCTCGGGGACGAGGGATGGCGAAAAATCGGCCACGAAATCCGCTAGGATCTGGGATTTGATGGTCGTTCGAGGTTGATACTCGATATCATACCCTCCGAGCTCGATGGCCCATTTGGCTAGTCGGCCCGACAGCTCAGGTTCATGCAATGCTCCGGAGGGGATAGGTTGATAGGACGCAGATGCGGTGGCACAGAAAGTAAGGCTTTAGCTTACGCGAAGCGCTTATTAGTGCGAGTGCCAATTTTTCTAGATGGGGATACCGCGTTTCGGCGTCCCCCAAGGTTCGACTTACATAATATACAGGAAATTGCGTACCTTGATCTTCCCGGACTAATACACCACTCACTACTATTTCGGATACGGCCAGGTACAAATACAACGTTTCATCTTCTTTGGGTGTGTGTAGCAAGCGTCGGCTTGACAGGTACCGTTTCAGCTCTTCCAGGGCATCTTGGCATTCTGGAGTCCATTCGAAGTTGCTCTTTCTTTTGAGTAGGGCAAAAAAGTGATGGCTTTTGTCCGATGACCTTGATATGAATCTACCCAGGGCTGCGATCTGCCTAGTCAGTCGTTGGACGGCTTTTATGTTATTTATCACTATGATTTCTTCGATGGCCTTTATTTTGTCGGGGTTGCTCTCGATCCCCCTGTTGGAGACCATGAAGCCTTGAAATTTGCCCGAGCCTACTCCGAAGGAGCACTTTTCAGGGTTGAGCTTCATGTTGTAGCTTCTGAGGATATCAAAAGTTTCCTGCAAATGGGTCAGGTGATCCCCTGCATGCAGGAATTTCACTAACTTATCGTCAATGTATACTTCCATCGATTTTCCTATTTGGTGTTCGAACATCTTATTAACTAGGCATTGGTACGTTGCTCCTGCATTTTTTAGTCCGAAGGGCATCATATTATAGCAATATGTTCCATACTTCGTGATGAATGAAGTCTTTTCCCTGTCCTCGGGGTTCATCTGAATTTTATTGTACCCCGAGTAAGCATCGAGGAAGGTGCTGGTCTCGTGGCCGGTCGTGGCATCGATCAGACGATCAATGTTGGGCAGTGGGAAAGAATCTTTGGGGCATGCTTTGTTTAAATCCTTATAATCTACGCACATTCTTAGCTTATTCCCTTTCTTTAGCACTATTACTACGTTAGCTAGCTATTCGGGATACTTTACCTCCCTGATGGACCCGATTTTTAAGAGTTTCGTTACCACTTCTTTGATGAAGGCGTGTTTTACCTCGGACTGCGGCCTCCTTTTCTGCTTCACGGGTTTGAATTTGGGGTCGACGCTCAGCCGGTGGGAGGTTATTTCAAGCGGGATACCTGTCATATCTACGTGAGACCAGGCAAAACAGTCGATATTGTTACTAAGGAATAGAATAAACCCTGTCCTGAGTTCGGCGGTCAACCCCGTGCCCAGGTACACCTTGCGGTCCGGGAGGTTATCGATCAGAATGGTCTGCTCCAACTCTTCGATCGTTGATTTGGTCGCATCCGATTCTTCGGCGGCAACGAAGGTTTGGGGGGGGGGGAAGAAATCTTCCTCATCATCTCCGACAGTTTGCATGCTTTTTTCCTTGTTTGAGGCCGATTGTGTGGGGGTCGACGGCTCACGGTGAACCGCGAACATTTCTTTTGCCGTCTGCTATTCTCCATGTATTGTTGTAATGCCATTTTTTGTGGGAAATCTCACCACCTGGTGTAAGGTAGAGGGCACTGCCCTCATATCGTGTATCCAAGGCCTACCAAGCAAAGCGTTGTACCTCATGTCGCTGTCGATGACCTAAAATTTGGTGCTCTGGGTTGTGCCATATGTGTTGATTTGGAGGGTGATTTCTCCTTTCGTTTCTTCCCCGATCATGTTGAAACCGTGGAGGATTGAGGAACGGTGTTGATCTAACTGAGCAATCCCAACTGTTCTATCACTCCGGACCTGAATATGTTGGCCGAGCTGCCCGGGTCCACGAGCACGTGCTCTATCCTTGTGTTGTTTAAGAGAAATGAGATCGCCAGTGCATCATTATGTGGTTCTCCCATGGCCTCGAGGTCCTCCTCGGTGAATATTAGGGTTTCTTCGGGTAAGAGCTGCCAAGTCGATCCTTCTGTAGCGGATGTTTTTGTCCGCTTGGATACGGGGCACTAGGGATCGTCAGCCCCCCCCCC